TATGAGCAGAAACGTTTTCGCCACCACATCTAACCACACTGTGGGTCTTAAACCCCTTCCCCCATAAAATGGTTTCCTAGGGCGCGCTCCCTTTTGAAATGCGGCCGAAGTTTGGGGCTGATCATTCATTGTTTATACTGGAGCTTACAGAAATGTGTGACCCCACACACACTCGAAATCAGTCTCATACAACACAATTTATCCACTGAAATATAGGCTAAACTAGTCATTCTGAAGATATACCACGTTCCACTCCCCACACTCCGATATAAATTGTCCCCGGCCATTTCGTTTTATCAGACTGTACATAACATTCATCTCACGTCCTGGCTACAAAACTTGGGGTTCCCTTCCGCCGCTGAAGTAACGACAGATCGCTCCCTACCTTCTTTTATTTCCAATCTCACCCTCCGCCTCTCACTCTAAAGTTCTCTTTCACGTAAGCCTTGTCGGGTTGAGGATACAGAAATTTTTAGTCTCCCTCTTATCTGTAACGTGGGTCTCCTAAGTACTGCTAACACCTGCATACCATCTTAAGAAGCCAGTCTGACTGCGATAATGTTTGAAAACATCATAAATCCTCTACAGAAATAAATAAAATATATAATGGGCTTGAATGCTCGCTAATTTGACTACGGGGAAGCACTGACTCTTTTGGTCCGGATTTATTTTGCTCGATTAGACCAAAAAACAAACACGTCTTGCCATCTGTCTATAGTTTTGGGGACCCTCAATAATAGAAATTATATGTTGCCTATAACTTAATAAAAGAATAATTTTTATAGAAAAACCAGTACAGAAATGCTGGATTAATTGTTGTCTTGATTTCAATATATCAAAAGAACAAAGTATTTCTATTTACGATATCTGTAAAGCCTATGTAGCTGATACCAGGTGTAAGATACAATCTCACCTATAAATGTATATCCTAGCAGAGGACAAGTGGTGTAGGGTCCACCCAGCCCTTTGTTCAGTGGATGTCGGGGTAAACCGGCCGAAACGTGAAGTTGGACATTCAGTTTCATTTGGTGCCGACGTCTAAAATGGGTTGAGTTACCACTTTGTCCTTCATAGCTTGGTGCTTAGGCAACATTTATTTCGTACTGATCTACATTTAAGGGTGCTGGATGAAAACGTGGTATGAGATGGATTTTATTCTGTTCGTGTCTTACGTCTGTTACAAAGAGGTGTTCGCTGTATCCTTGTGGCGATAGAAATGGTGATGAAACTCTATGTACAATTTACTTGGTCTCTCCGCGCTAGGTGGCAGACGTAGCCACTTTGGCGTATTGCCAAGTTGCGCAGAGAAGAGGTAAAAAGAAGTGTAATACCGGAAACGAGAAATCTGTCTGGGATGCTGTCGCTGGTCCATGTGATACGGATGTATCAATTTCATTTCGTAATGCAGACAAGGATTTCCTTAACAAATGGTTCTCAACCAAAAATCCCCGTAGATCGCTTTCACGAACAAACAAGTTTACTGTGACTGCATTAAGACTTAAGTTTTAATTATATCTCTGCTGATTTCACAAAGATGAAAATAAAACTTTTACATATTCATAATACCTTCAGTTTTCAGTTGTTAAAACCGCACGATATTATTCACAAAAGGTTTCAATTTACTCAGAAGCAAACAGAACACAACCAAAACGGAAGGGAACGGTTTATAAACGAGATATCTAATTTTTGTTTTTGGTGTTTAAAGTATCCAGAGATAAACACAAAAATTATCGTTTTTACTTGCAGAAGTTTGTGTTAAGAGGGCCCAAAGGTTCATTACCGTATTCATGAACCCTTCACTAGATCCTACCCAGTGCACATCTTCACGTCCATCAATGACTAGGTCTCCAAAATTACGGAAACCTTCCCTTCAGGTTTTCCGATATAAACTTGATGTTGTTATTTCGTTAAATATTCATCAGCTTGGTGTTTCAAATGAACATTTCTGACCTTTTATTATGTGCAAATTCTTGAGTACCGGAAGTATTTTATGAAAAAACTGATGAAGTCGGATTTAGGCTCCAGGCAAAACCAGAGCATAACTTGGAGGTGTTCAAATAAAAATTAATTCGTCCTGTAAGTTTTTATATGGAGTCATCCAGTACCAAATTTAATCGAAATACGCACCTCCTCAATAGACGACAGGTTATATACAGAGCTGTTTATGTTCTTTGTACAAACAAAGCACAATTTGAAACAAAAATATCCATGCTATTATTGCTTGTACATACTAAATTAGCAAGTGAGAAAATGAAATATCTTACTTTTATTGTGGATTTATCGCTTGATATAGCGTGGTGACAAAAGCAAGTAACACAATCTTTTAGTTTACGGAACGTAATGTTGCGCTATTTTGTTCTTGACTCGTTCGAACTCCGTGCCGAACGGATCATTCAGACTTTCGTTTTCCGAATTTCTTACACTACTTCTGCTGTGCCGTAATACGTTTGGTACTTAAAACAAGCCACGACCGGTTCTTTCACCCTTCCACACAATTATCCATTCATAATATTTTTGAATGGAAACTGTTGTATCGAGGGCTACTTCCTCCCCCCCACCCCAATCGAAAATTCCACACATTAAACTTAGGTCATAAACATACCTAACCTACCATCACTGGAAGGCTCAATGAGACTCGTTTGTGTGTCTAGCATGGTTAAACCTAACCTCACAATGAATTCAGCTTTATACAAAAACCGCGATTGCACTAAACCAGTGGTATTCAACCTTTTTTGTTCGCGTACCCCCAGATATAATTTCTCTTCAACTTTGTACCCCCAAAGTTGGTGTATAATTCAAGTTATACATAGTATATAATCTACATCTAAAATAAACTAAATAAATTACATTACTGATTATTCAGTGTTTATCATAAAATAATATATTTTCTTAAATTTCACGTACCTCCTAAGATGTCTTCGCGTATCCCCGGTTGAATACCACTGCACTAGACCACAGATTACCGCGCAGCCCACTGTCCCACTCCGGAGAAACATAGGAACCCCTCCTACACAATAACCTTAAAAGAAACGAGCTGTATACTCATCAACTGCCCAGAATTTTTGCATCCAATACGTATTCCAGTATGTGATAACTCGCATGTAATGTTGTCCCCAATTTGTCATCTCCGTACTTTGAAGGCCCGATGGGGAAGAAAGAAAGAAAGAAAGAAAAAACTCGTAGACACACATTCACTAGCAACATGAAGATATTGTTAATATTATTTCTGTAACATGTTGCAATATGATAAATCAGTAACATGGCTGAGAATATTTTAATATTTCTTCTTTGCAAAGGGTTCTTCAAGGGTAATTTTTATCTTCTTTTTTTTGCAGTCCACGCTG